CTTTTTAGAAAATTTCTGGGAATTAAACCTCACCTCATGTTCGTTCCAATTCGAAAAGGGAGATGTGTAACTTGTGTTAGTTGAGCTTAACCTATCTGAAAGTAGAGATTTTTCTTCTTCTTTACATCACAATTCCACAAGTTCCAGTCTCACTGATTGCCAACTTGATCATCAAACTCCAGAGATATATATTCATAAGGCTTTATTAGTGGTCCCATTACAAGGATTAATAAAGTCTTGATGATGGCCTCGTTGGCCAACCATAAAGGACAAAAAGCTGCAATTATTATAGAAGAGGTTGTTTCTTGAACGTTACGAAATGCTAGCTTTATATATATATATATATAGAGAAATATGGGAATGCTTGGTACCAAGCACAAAAAGTTGTGCTTGGTAGTGAGGTGTCACATCCCCTCCACTCATTTAACTTTGGGACCATATCACTACCAAGCACAAAATTTGTGCTTGCTACCAAGCATACCCATATTTCTCATATATACACTACAACAGACATGTCTTTTAGCGACTAACTTTTTTGCGAGAAAATTATTTTCCTCAACAAGTATCACTTTCGACGAGAAAAATATTATTTTCTCGGTAAATATCAGCATGTTTTCTATGAGGAATATATTTTCCTCACAGTAGGCCACCTTCTACGATGAAAATTTTAGTTCCTTACTAAAGATGATCATGATTTGGTCTCCTAACTAGTTATTTTATTGGCGAGGAAATATGATATTTTGGTGATAAACTTTTTCATCGTGAAATGCACATTTAACGAGGAAACAATCATTTCGTCGCTGTTCTTTTGGCGAAAAATAGAGGAAAACCCGCCAAATGTAACAACGATAAAGTATGATTTCATCGTTGAAGATCCATAATCTGCGAGGAACCATTTCCTCATCAAAAGAATCAATTAGCAATGAAATAATAGTTTCCTCGTTATTAGTTTGACGGGAAAAAAAAACACCGCTAATTTCAATGGTGACAAATTTAAGGTTTCATTGCTAAAAGTTTTTGTTTTTACGAGCAACTATTTCCTCGTTAAAAAGAACCTATTAGTGAGGAAATTATAGTTTCCTCACTATTAATTTGGCGGAAAAATTTACAACACCCGTCAAATTCATTGACGAAAAATTAGAGGTTTTCTCGCTAAATTTTTTTGTTTTACGCGGAACTTTTTCCTCGTTAAAAAAACCAATTAGCGAGGAAATAATAGTTTCCTCATTATTAGTTTGGTGAAAAAATATGCAAAATAAAAAAACCAATTAGCGAGGAAATAATAGTTTCCTCATTATTAGTTTGGTGAAAAAATATGCAAAACCCGCCAATTTCAATAGCAACAAATTTAAGGGGTTTCCTCATTATTAGTTTGGTGAAAAAATATGCAAAACCCGCCAATTTCAATAGCAACAAATTTAAGGCTTCATCGCTAAAAGTTTTTGTTTTACGAGGAACCGTTTTATCGTCAAAAAAAACCTATTAGCGAGGAAATTATAATTTCCTCATTATTAATTTGGCGAAAAAATGTACAACACCCGCCAAATTCATTGATAACAAATTAAAAGTTTCCTCATTAAATTTTTTTGTTTTACGAGGAAACATTTCCTCGTTAAAAGAATCAATTAGCGAGGAAATAATAGTTTTCTCGTTAAAAGAATCAATTAGTTGTCTAAGGAAATAGTTTTGTGACGGTTCTACCCGTCACAATAGAGTCTAAAACAACGCTTTAAAATAAAGCATTAGGCTTGAATTAGTTTTGTGAATAAATTGTGTAATGGGCTAAAAGGGACGGTCCCCAAATTTTCATTTTTGGTTTTGAGAACGAGTGCCACACTTTCCCCCATCAAAACAAATCATCGCGTCTATAGGGTTTTTCTCGTGTCGATCTCTTTTTCGTCCGTCAACTCTCCTCGAGCAAAGCCCGTCACCTCTCCTTCACTCACGCTCGTCCTCGACGATCTCCACCTCGCGTTTCCCTCCTCCCCTTGGCTCCTTCACTTCCCCTCATTAGACACCTCCGCTTGATCGTCGACCATCCCAACCTTGTCAGCCACCTCTCCTCAATTCGCCGTTGTCCACTGCCACCCCTCACGTCTTCCCCGTCTTCGAGGACCGCCGCCGAGACCTCCACCGAGACCTCCACACGACTCCACACGCCACCGAGACCGCCACCGAGACCTCCACACGACTCCACACGCCCAGTCACATGGGGATGGGCCCTTAGTATTAAGGCGGAGCCCCTTGCTGGCGTGATGATTAGGGGGATCGAACTATGGCCGCTAGCGGACTCAAAAAGGAGTTAAAATTGAGCAGGCTAACTAGATTTCCCTTGTCAGCAAAAAAGAGATGATATTGGTGACGGAGTATTGGTGACGGATATCGAATCCGTCACCAATATAAATATTGGCGACGGGAAATGACCAATGAGGATATGATGAGAAAAGTGAAGATGATGAGAAAATGGTGAGAGACCAATAAGGAGATCATTTTTAGTTATACGTGTTATGAACATGTAACCATATTGATCTTGCTAATGATATACCAAAACTTATCATAGCCCTTTTTAATTAATTAGGAATTCTATGTTATTTTTAAAATTTTTTATTCTTTATGCTAGCTGATTCGATGACCGCCACTACGCTTGGCTTTTTTCACGGATAAACTTAAGCCTGCAAACATCATTACTAATTTTGAGAAGAGCTTAATGAGATTTAATAACTAAAGAAACAAATGAAAATAGTTTGGATAGATTTAATCACTAATGTCAAATTTTCTTAATTAATTTTTTTATTAATTACTCATATCCTAAAATGTTAATTTTAATATGTATACCTCACAAATTCGATTTGATATCCGTAATGTAGGAGATTGAATACAAAATTTTCCCCCTTTTGTATTCTTTAGACACGCTCAAATTTTCCAAAACCCTACCTTTCAAAATTTTTCAAGTCCTGAGCGGGCTCCTAAATTTTCCAAACCCCGTTTCTAAAACTTCCCCCCTTTTGTTTTCCTCAGACACGCTCAAATTTTCCAAACCCTCCCTTTCAAAATTTCTCAAGTCCTGAGCCGTCGTCCTCTGCTTCATCTCTGGCTTCCTCCTCGTCCACCTCGTTCGCCGCAAAATGAATCTTCAGCCATGGCAGTCGGCGTCTCTCGCCTAATCGCGGTCGTGATTGCGCCGAAGCCCCTTCATATGACTGCCACGTGTCCGAATCTGATGTCATCTCTCTCTGCGAGAAACAGAAGAAGGGGTGGCGACGTCTTTGCTAAACATTCAGATTCATACTCTCTCTCCCCCCGCGGTTGCTTCCGATGGGTACACCTCCATCTTACCCTGATGATGTAATTTATGGGAAAACCCCCTCTCATATCTTTTATTTGCGTCGTTGATTTTCACAGAAGCAAAATTAATTGCGAGAGATGAAGCTGGTACCTAGAGAAGTTGAGAAATTGGCCCTTCATCGGGTGGGATTCCTCGCTCAGAAGCGATTGACTAGCGGACTTTGCCTCAATTATGTCGAGGCTGCAACGTTGATTGCGACTCAGGTACTTTCTCTTCTCTGCTGTTGATGATGCTTTTGCTTCTTGTTTTGCCCACCATGTGTTTGTAATTATTCCTTAATGACAAAAACACCAAGAAGTTTGGAAGATCTCAGTGTCATTCAATCTTCCCAGCGTTGATTCCTGACCCTATTTGATTTTACGCGACTAAAAGGTGCATGCGGTATCATTTCCATATATACACGATCCCTCAGATCTCAGTGTCATTCAATCTGCATATGTGAAGTGTACCTTGTTAGTCTAAGTTTGGCCAGTTTCCAACAATCCGTTCTTTGAGACTCGATAACGCATGTTATGATGCTCTGGCCTGGTACTAGTAGTAGGGCCACACAGTTGAGCATTCATGTTAACACAGAAAATGGGTAATAAAAATCTTCTTTAAATTATGCTCGTACCCCAGGAACAGAGTTGTCAAATATAAGTCAGTGATCTATCATGGGATTAAATAAAGTAAATAGGAACATATGACAAAGACATTACTTTGAGTAAATCATTTAAACTTGTCTCTGGTCTAAAGCATGTTTATCAATCACCAGAGACATTGGTATGATGACTTTGAACAGAATTATAGCTTCTTAGGACTGGTAGGGTGATGGATCCTCATCTTTCACTCAAATTATATTTATAATGTCTTATAATTATATTAATTTTGGTGCAGTTGGTCCGTCACATTGCTGTTGAGGATGTTAAGTGTGAAGTGAAAATATTGCAAGCCCTAAAAGGACATGAGAATATTGTTCATTTCCATAATGCATTTGAAGATGATGATGATGTGTATATTGTGATGGAGTAAGTTGACATTGAACCTCCTGTCAATCTTTATACTACAAGAACTTGAACTTGCAGTTATTTTCAGAACTTATGTATATGGCTGACAAGTTATTTTTAAGTTTTGAGTATACACCCTCTGTCTAAATTAATATCAATCTTGGACGTATGTTCTTTATTGTAATTCAATCCAAGTTTTGAGTATACACCCTATGCTCTAGCTTACTAATCCAGAGAGCTTGTTCACACTATAAGCTCTCTTTGTTCCGATATGACCTAATATAATGTTTTCTATGGCGTTAACTTACAGCTTCTTAGAAATAAGCCATATTATCGTTGGCAACCATGGCCAATAATAAGTGAGAGCGCCAAAGATTTTGTTAAAAAGCTACTTGTTAAGGATCTTCTTGTAAGGCTGACAGCAGCTCAGGCTGTGTATGTATCACATTTTCATCCTTTTAGAGTTTTAGAATATGGAGTCCATCTAAGAGTTGATGGGGATTGTGATTTATTTTTAAACAAACTATGAGGTTTTATTTCAGAGTTTTTATCTCTTAATTTGCCTTATGTGTTTTAAGCATGATGTTAAGGATAGTGAGAGTGTTGTCTGGTTCTTGCAAGACCTTGATAGGGAACAGGATGCGGATGAAAGCATGGTAAATTTTTTTGTACCAGAGTAATGAGCTTACACAACAAGTTTGGTGCGTGAGTTTACACAACAAGTCTGGGAACCTATAGAGGAAGGTCTTGTACCGTAAGTTTTTTACTTTCTTTATGCAGGTAATTTTAATCATATCATTGGAATAGTTCTCTTATGTCTAAAAACTATGTCATGTAGCTTGGATATGACTCGCCATGTATCAATGATCTCAATTACTTTGTCACCTAATGATCTAAACCGGAACTCTCCAGGGTAAAGTATTTCACTTTTACAATTTGCATCTTCAACATGATAGAGGTTATGCTATGGAGGAGAATGATATGCCATGTTGACTTCCAAGTTCTTTACCTTTAGGTGAGCAGGTATCAAGCACCAGTATTTTTAGAACAACCAAAGAAACAATACAAAGTGCATCATCCATAATACCAACAACAGCAGCAACATCAACCAAGGCAACCACTAAATCAAGCTGCTGAAGGTACTGTTTATGCAAATTTGTTGCTCTTAATGATGGAAATATTCCCCAAAAGTAGCATGTATGCTATAAGTACTCGTTCATTAGTTTCTCTTGCTCTTTGATAAAGTAGGTGGATTATTTTTAATTTATGATATTATCATCGCATCATTTTTATTTATATATTATCATCGCACATACTAATAAAGTATTTTATTTTGTAGAAAATATGTGAGACGGCATCGGCGAATGACAGATCGAAGCTATACGATCACTTCTTAGGATCTACTCCTTATGCTCGGATGGAGCATAAGTATTTGAGTGAAAACCCGATATGATCATATTATTAAAACTTATATTATGTGATTAGTTTTATATATTTACTTTGGAATTTTATATATCACATGACGCTTTGATGCAGCCACCACCGACGAAAGAGATCACGACGATAAGGACTACGACGACTACGACGAATTGGGTAGCGAGTTAGACTTTTTTGTTACTTTTGTAGACTTTTGGATTGTGTTGAACATATTATGACCTTCGGATTATATATATGTGAATCGATGAATGATGAATATGATTATTGTTGGATGTGAATTGATGAATGTGAATATTGTTGGATGTAAATTGATGAATGTGAATATTATTGAATATATTATAAATATTGGTAGCAACATGTATATATTCCCTATTGGGGGGCTCAAAAAGTAGCAATTTTTTTTCAAATTACATTCATTAGCGACGGAAATGTACCCATCGCCAATGCTCTGATTTCTACTTGTGAACCTACAACGACAAATTTAAATTTCCTCGTCTTTGAGTCCATTTGCCGAGGAACTGTTTCCACAAGAAAAAGAAACATATAATGAAGAAAATCAATTTCCTCGTTAAAGATTTACCTTTTGTGAGGAACAGTTTCCTCGCTGAAAGATACTTACAATGACGAAAATAGTTTTTTTAGAACTTTTATTATATATAAATTAAATATTATTCACGTGTCATTAGCGAGGAAACTTTATTTTAACGATGAAAAAGGTATGAGATTAGGTGAGAAAAAATATCGAGGCTAAAGAGTAACAACGAGAAAAGAATATATTCATCGCAAAAAGGATTTTGCGAGAAATTATAATATTCCTCGCAGAAACTTTTCTTGACCACCCTACCGTGAGGAAATGGTGACCAAAGTTTTTTCCTCGCCAACACACTACGACGAGGAAATCTCAACTTTCAACGACAAACTTGTTCCTCGCGGATTAGCTTTTTTGTTGTAGTGATATATACACATATGTATATATATACATATGTATATATATACATGTATATGTATACATATATGTATATATATATGTATATGTATATATATGTATATATATACATGTATATATATTTATATATATACATATATATACATGTATATATATTTCACCTTTATTTTTTTTCAAGCTTAATATTTGTTTTCCTAATGTTTTGAAACCCCACCAATCCAACTTATGAGCAAGTTAGGCAGCTTTGCATTATAATTCATTTGAGTTATAAATGGATTATAATCCATGTTTATAATTCACAATATTTGGTAAGTTTAAGTGGATTTTAATCCATTTCTAATATATAAATGAAGGACTAAACAATCTCGGTAGATATTAGTCTTGCTAACTTTTGCTGACTGCCTAAAATTAATAACGTAAAGTAAGATAATTGCTTTAGAATTTATTTTAAAACAATCCAAATATCATCCTAATATTAAGCACCCACTTTCGTTTGGCAAGGATTAAAGAAAAGAGATTAAGTAGAATGATTAATGTAGTTATCCCATTCGATAACTCAAATGACTAAATTATTAACCAGTTAAACAAGTTTTATTTAAGTTCTTGTTATTAGTTTTAGTGTTTAGGAATAACAAGGATTTTGACTATTTTTTTTATAAATAGAGGAGTTAACTCTTAATCCTTCTAAAAAGGAATATTAGTAAACCGCTCATTTTGAGAGGTTAAATCATTTTAATCCTTCCAAGGGTTAGCTTAACCATTATGCACTTTTAACGTTTGGCAAATTATGAAGGATTAATTCACTTTAACCCTTGAATAGATTTTTTTATGTTTAGCAAATTAAGAAGGGGTTAAGCTTCTTAGCCCATCACTTAACTCGTTGACGAATTGTACCTTCTTCTCTGGCTAGTAGGGTTTTGAAGGAAAAGTATTTCAGGGACTCAGATTTCCTTTTAGCTGGTGTCAGCCCTGGCAGCTCTTATTTATGGCGAAGCAGTATCTGGGGTAGAGAGCTCCTAGCTCGAGGTCTAAGATGGAGGATAGGTGATGGCCAAAGTGTCTATCAATGCTGACCCATGGATCCCAATGTCCTTTTCTTTCAGGCCAATCACTTCTCCGATCGACCCTTCCAAAAGGGTGGCTGAGCTGATCTTTGCTTCGGGTACTTAGAATCATGAGCTGGTTGCTACCTCCTTTTAGCAGGTAGATCAGGAGGACATTTCATTTATCTCACTGCCGCCTTCTCCTGTCTCTGACAGACTCATTTGGTATTATGAGGAGAAGGGGTGCTACACAGTCAAGAGTGGATACCAACTTCTTCGCCATAATATGTCTGATACTACTTCCACCTCGAATTCTAAGGTAGCGAAGTAGTGGTCCTTGATCTGGCATGCGGAGATCCCACCGAAAATTAGAGTGTTCCTTTGGCGACTGTTCTATGATGCTCTCCCCACCTCAGCTGGTTTATCTTGTAGGGGGATCTATGTGCCCCTAGTTGTCGCATTTGCTCTGCTACCTTTGAGACCGCCCTTCATATCTTCACTGTCTGCTCCTTTGCTCGTTTGGTGTGGGAGTTCTTAGATCTTTGGGAAGTGATTAATGGTTTTCGAGGCACGTCTTGTGGTGATTTCCTTTTCCATCTCACCTCTGTTTGCCCTGAGGACTCTCTGGCTTTAGCTTTCACAACCACGTGGTTTATATGGGGGGAAGGAATAATGGTGGTAGTGTTAGAGATGCCTCGATCTTGGTGACTCGGATTATCTGTTTTATGGAGGAATGGGATAGAGTTAGAGGTCTCTCCCGTGACATTGTCATCCCTTCCAAATGGCCTTCTGCTTGGTATCCCCTGCTCCTGGTTTGCTAAAGCTCAACACAGATGTTGTTGTTCCTCTGGAAGGAGATATTATTGGTTTGGGAGGTGTTATTCGGGATCACCATGGACATGTGATTGGTTACTACTCTATGGGGATCAGGGGTCCTATATCTGTGGATACGGAGCTGTTGGCTGTCCTGGAAGGCATTCGGTTTGTTCGCCGTATGAACTGGAGGATTTCAGTGGTGAAATTTGACTCTCTAAAGGTTATCTCCTTGGTGGACTCTCCTTCTCCTTTTGCTTCCTTGGCTCCTATTGCAGATGAAGTTCGCGCTGGTCTGATTATTACTGACTGCTCTAAAGTTTCTTAATAAGGCGCACTGGTAATGGTGTTGCTTATTTCCTAGCTAAGTCGGTTGACTGTTTGTCCTCTTGTTTTTAGTGAGATTGTGAGCACAAATCTTATCGTGAGCTAGACTAGCCAGCTCATCACATTCATAATCGACACCGTACATCTTGTTCAACACGTAATCAAATGTTTATAGTAAAATTTTCACATATATGAAGTTTCCAAGAATATGAAACAAACTAGTTTGGTATGCTGATTTTTCAGGTAATTTAAGAGATTGTGAGCACAAATCTTATCGTGAGCTAGACTAGCCAGCTCATCACATTCATAATCGACACCGTACATCTTGTTCAACACGTAATCAAATGTTTATAGTAAAATTTTCACATATATGAAGTTTCCAAGAATATGAAACAAACTAGTTTGGTATGCTGATTTTTCAGGTAATTTAACAGTCGTGCCCTCTACACAGCTAAAACAATGATTAAAAATTACAAAACAAAATAATTTTTTCTACATGTCATGGTGAGTGCAAATCACAATAGGCGGTGTCGATTGTTGTTTTGAGTAGCCTGTTACTCTAGCTCACAATAAGAATCTGTGCTTACTATCTCATTTTTATCTTATTATATATATATATATGTGTGTGTGTGTGGATTAAATTATGATTCCTCACTATCAAACACCATAAAAATGTTAAAACTTGGTACCAAGCACAAACTTTATGCTTGGTAGTGATGTGTCCATGACGTGTCCTATTCCCATCCTATCAACTCCCCAATACATGTGAATGTGGTCCCCCCATCTGACTGAATAGATAAGAATATGCCACATCACTACTGCTCGGAACCAAAGTTTCTCTATATCGCTCTCTATATAGAGAGTGATATAGAGAAACTTTGGTTCCGAGCACAAGTTTTTGTGCTTGGTAGTGATGTGACATATTCTTTTCTACTCATTCAAATGGGGAACCACATTCACATGAGTTGAGGAATGAATAGAAATGTGTCATCTCACTACCAAGCATAAAATTTGTGCTTGGTACCAAGTTCCTATATTTTTCACACACACATAGGTGAAAAGTAGGAACTTGATACCGATCATAAATTTATGCTTGGTAATGAGGTGGCTTATTCCTATCCATTCTCTTATCCCTTTAAATGAGTTAATAGGAATGTGCTACCCCACTACCAAGCACATAAGCACAAACCAAGCTTATAAGCTTATGCTTCGTACTCAGTTCCTCCATATTGCTATATATATATCTATATCTATATATATATCTATATATATATCTATATATATATATATATATATATATATATACTTGACATTAATGGGTATCATATTGTCATATGAGAGGATTCGCTCAATATACAATTGATGTGCACAAATCTCCGCACCAAGTGAATAAGTAGAGAGAGAATGCCTCATAAATACACTTTGGTGGAGATTGTGCCACATCATTGTATATGAGAGAATCCTCTCATATGACATAGATGATACCCATTACATCTCTCTCTCTCGTTCTCTCTGCGATCTCTCGCTCTCTCTCTCTCTCTC